CTTGGCGGGAGAGGGTGGAGCCTCCCGTGGTCGGAGCTCCGGGACTCTACGGAAAAAGCAATTGGGGGAGGGGTCTCTCTAGGTCAGAAGGGGCTGGGGGTGGGGCCCGGTTCTGTGGTGTGAGGTCTTGTAATGGGGGCTGCCCCCTGGCCCTACACAACAGGGTCAGAGCTGTCAACTAGGGAGGTCAAATATCAGTTAATTGAATTGTTGATTAACCTCATGAATTCTTATGTTAGTGGACTATTCTATAGGCCCCAGGTGGGCATGGGGCCGGCAGCCAGTGCGCTCCAGTCCCACTCCTGAGCAGCCCCCTGCCGCTCCGCACTGCTAGCCGATTGCTTTTTACTTTTACCTTTCTCTGCACACTATCACCGGCTCTCCTTTCTCTACTGTAGCCTGCATACACCTACTTGTCTTCACTTTTGCAGCCTATCACTACCTACCTGTCATTTCATATGCTATATTCAACTCCTGCTCTGATCAGTCACTGATACCAGCCCAAATAACCTGTTTGTGCTTTCCCTAGCACTGTCTCATCTGTGGAAGGCACTTACTATAAACAGCCACAAAGCTCTCTCGTTGTCCTTCAAACTTGTTAATATCCCTACAAATAAATAGGCAATGGTGGACTGAGATTCCCTATCATGCTGACCTACATGGGCTCAATTGTCTGTGTCCATCTATTTTCTCATCTTTTACTTAGACTGTGAGCGCTTTCAGGCATGAGTTTTTTGTTCCCTGCATGTACAGACTTGAGCCAGTAGGGTCCTGGTCCACGACTGGGCCTCCTGGCATATGTCTATGTTGCAACCAGATTGACAAGGCTTGCAGGGTTTAAGCAACTGAGCTGTAAAGTTGCCACGTAGGCATTTGGACTCAGGCTGGAATCCAAGCTCTGGGACCCCAGGAGGGGGAGGGCTGTAAAACTGCCAGGTTTGGGCTCTAGCAATTTTACAGCCCTACACTCTGAGCCACTGAGCCAGAATATAGTCAGGTGACAGGCCAGCTGTGGTTGTTTAGTTGCAGTGTAGAAATACTCTTATGCATGACCCCTCCTCAAAAGGAAATAACTACAGCACCACCCCCTTTCTCTGATCAAATTGGGACCAGACCCAGATTGGATAATCAAAAATCCAGAGAAACCAGCACCTGGGAAAGTAAATGCTGCAGCACCATCTAGCAGCCACAGACAAGATCACTTATGTCTGGGCTTGGGAGTCCTGGTTGTTTGGTTAATAGGAGAGCGCCACAGTACGGAGGGTCAGATAAATGAGGTTCTACTTTATTATGTTCTTGCCTCCTCACTTGAACAAATCTTGCCTACTTTCTCTTCTTCACAATAAGGAATCATTCAACAAACATATCTACTGACCTCAATTCCAAAGACAGGGCTTGCTACCAATGAAGTGACCAAAACTATTTGGAACTTAAGATGTTCCATTGTATACACATGTATGGACTTTTATAACATGCTATGTTTTAGCTTGAGCTTAATGAGAGGATTGTAGTTACATAGTAACAATATAGGCATTGATTTCTCTACCTATCCTATTTATCCTCTTCAAATTCATGTCAGATTTGCATATATTATAACTGAAGATCTATTCAATTTTATTAAATGTTCATCTAATTGTTTTTCCAATACATTCAGACTTTCTGTAACAGCAGTATTTAACCATGACTTATGTCTACTCAGAAAGGTTTCATAATGGAAATAAACTGATACTGACATTTTATATCTGACACTATAGACAAATTAATGGTGTACAATCCTGTTTTACTATTACATTGAGACAAACATGTATGCTCTTTAATATGTAATGATAATCATTAACTGATTGTATCCACTAACCAAAATATTGTTGCCTGTGCATTGTAATAAACTAAGTTCAAAATACAGAACTTAAATTATTAGAAGCTCTTTCTTAGTTCATTCTGTACTAGCATATAAGGCAAACTGAAATGACCTGGCTTCCGAAAACACGCAGAACTAATTTAACAGTTGTTTGTGAGATAGACAGGCACAGGAATAATCCAGTTGGGGGGTAGTCAGAAGTGGCAAAAAAATAATGAAGTCTTAATACACAATCATCACTCTTGGGATGTTAGTAAAATTTACCTAAAAACTGAAGTAAAATACAAGCATTATGTACATGCATAAAAAGTGGAATAAAAAAAAAATCAATGGGTTGGACTGCCTGAAGAAAAAACCATTTGGCTTTTGAATTAGAGCCATTTTAATGCTTGAATAATTACTAAAATTAGCACCTACAGTAATCAGTTCCCAGTACATGTGGGGTTATTAAGCAGTCCCAGTTCTGGTCTGTCATACCTGTACAGTCCATAGCAGCACAATACTTTGCCCTCTGTATTTCATACACCTTCCTGCTATGCCCAAAACCCACGTAGTTTAGATGCTACAATATCACTAGTTTACAAAGGGAGTCTCAGTTGCTGTAGGACAGAAATGAGAGCTGGGAAAGTGGAGTGACCCAGTGGGAGACGACCTGTTTTTACAAAGGTATCTAAACCAAAATAAATTAAGTCTCACATGTTTGACAGTTTCAGTAGTTCTAGACTGAGGCCCTGATACTGTTAGTCTTTAAAGACTAAGTTAAGTGGGTTTTTTAATAAAATTTAAATGCTATTTGGCTATAGAGGTTACCTACTAACATTTAGTAGTATGGCACTTTCAGAGATGTATACATGAATCTTTTTTAAAAAGAGAATTGTGCTCACCGAAATCAAGCTATGACAAACATTTTTTAGTTAATGCATTTTGAGCAATGTTCATTTAAATTTTAGTTCCAATTGAATCCCTTCCAGGTTTCAACAATGGCATCCTTTAAAAAAAATAATAATAATAAAAAAAACTACCCACCTTCTTCCACATGGACAGACATGTTAAGAGCTCATTAGATTACATTTCCTAATGTGTATTTTAGGTACACTGTACCAGACAATTTTGTATAGATTTTCTATCAAAATATGCGCCTAAATGGAACATGATCATTAATACCAGAGACAAGTAACACTTGAAGTACCTAAAGAACTTTTAACTGAAGAGGTAGAGAGGAGGTACATATGAAAGACTTAAACGAGTTTTATTCAACTGTTTAGAGGAAGGAAAATGATATAAAATGCCAGGAAATGCATTGACTCTTAAAATCTGTTAAGTTCAACCATTTGAGTACGTTTATAGTCACACAATAATTGTTATGAGAACACATCTTACACTCCTTAACTTGGGTGGCAACGAATGCCACTTTCAGAACTGTACAGAACACACTTCCATAGCCGACTTGTAACTAGCATCAATTACTTGCTTATGGTGTTACACATACATTTGTAATAAGATCATAGCCAAGAGGTACATTATTTCTCTTTCTATACATTAATCCAATATCTCCTGTGCAGTCGATCATTAACTAGGTCGTTAATTTAAACAGGTTTGTAGTCCAGCTTTGACTCCAGCTTCTTAGAATCAGCTACTTTTCTAACAGCTTTCATGAAGTCTTCCTGGACTACGAAGTCATGATCAGCACGAATTGCAAACATACCTGTGAAGAACAATTTCAGAAACTGCTAGACATTTATAGAGCAACAACACAGAACTGAGACATTGTATAAAGTGTATCACTTTGTAATTAATACACTGAAAGGATCAAAGTTAAGTTACAAATTCCATATGGAGATTTGGTGAGTAACTTTCATCAGTTCTTTTCATGCACCTCAGACATGTTTGGAAGCAGAGTAATTATTCTGGAATAAAGTCATTTTTATTCAGGCAAGAGCACCCACGAAGGGCAGTTATACCACTTAGCTCTAGAGCTATAATTATTTCATTACAGCTATGCTAGTCATCTTCCCAGTGAAGACAAGCCCTGAGTGGACAGTCATTTTTTCTGACAGAGTAAGCAGAAACACATAAAAGAGCTATCCCAAAGTATAATTTCTGTACAACTTATATAACTGTGTAAGTCATAAAGAAATATTTGGAAAACAGATTTTTGTCCAAGATGGGTAGACATGTTTCATACAGTTTCAAGGAACTTCATTTTACTGCCTCTCCCCCACATTTTTAAGATGTAGGGGACATACATACATATCCTTTCCAGTGCACACTTGATCATAATTCCAGTGTTCCAAGAGATGAATTTTTATAGCACTTAGACATTTACTAATAAAAAAGCACACTAAGAACTATTATGTGAACCAAAGTTTCCAGACACTAATGTAAAAAAATGCAAATGCTACCTGACCCTCAAGAATGAATGCATTTAAAACAATTGAATGTTTTTGAACTTCATACTCATACTAAAAACAGATCAGAGAAACTAGACATGAGAATTTAGCGTTTACAGCAAGACTTGGCACATCAAAAAAGAACTGGGCAAATAGATACAAGTGAGTGAGGAGTCTCTTACCTGCTTCAGTACAGACATTTCTCAAATCTGCTCCATTAAATCCATCTGAAAGCTTCACAATTGCTTCATAATCTATTAACGAAAGAATGCCAGTTATCAGGAAGTGCAAAGCAGCCTATAGCTGATGCAGTGCAGCATCAGCTATAAAAACATTGAACATTCTACTTTGATTCTGAGTGCAAGTGAAAATAGTTATTAACTACATTGATGACTGAATTTGCCAGCTAATAACATACAAACAAACCTAGGTTGGCTAAGAAAATAAACTCAGAATAAGATTTAAAAATTACTAACTTGCACACAGAACAGAAAAAGATGCATGTTAAATCAAGATTATAGTTGATTTAGATGCATCTGAATAAAAACAATGTCAACATACATACATTATTCCCACCATAGCTATAACTTTGCAAGTCTTCAGAAAATTATCCAGCCGCAGCCAACACACATACACACACACACAGTGTCTGTCACACACGCCCAGTCTGTACTCCCCCCTCTCCCACAGTCAATGTCACATACACACTTCTGCCCACAATCTGTCTCTCAAAGTCTGTCACACACACACAAAGTGTCTCTTGTTCATACTCTCACACAGTGTCTTTCGCTGTAGCCCCCAACCCCATCCTTTCTATCCTGCCCCTTTTGGGAGGAGCCCGGACCCATCCCATGATAATGTATCAAAGTAGTCCCCCTGCGAAAATTATTGCCAATCCTTGAACAAGACAGTACCCTGCTAGGGTGCTATTTGGATTCAACTTCGCCACTCTTTTGTATCTTTTAGGTAGTAGGTGTCGGAAATGGAATTCCTCTCTGTGAGGGGGCGCTATACTTTCTCTTCCTATCTCAAACTACAGGCAAGGGAAAAGCCCTCCATCAGCAGTGAAGAGGTGTGCTATTCTCAGTCTCTACCTCAGTCTCTACCTTCCTTTTTTCATGTCCTTTCCCCTCGTCCCCACCCAAGTTCCTGATTGCTTGTGAGAAGCAACTTCAGCATCTTCGCACTCTCAGGGTACATCTACACTGCGGGATTTTTCCGGGATACCGCCTCCAGCTCTCTCAATTAGTACTGTAGTGTAGACATACCCGAGCAAACACGCTCTTTTGGGGAGCCTTGTATACCTCATTCTACGAGGGATAAGGGCTTCACCGAATGAGGAGGCTTTTCCGCCATTTGGCCCCATCTAGGACTGGGCCAAATGATTGAAAAACCTCTTCTGGAAAAGCGATTGAAAAAAATCTATGCAAATTGTGGAGTGGAATTTGTGTAACTTTTTCTGAAAAAAGCCTATAGTGTAGACCTTGCCTCAGGTCAGACTGCAGTAACATAACTGACTAGAATCTTGTCAGTTTCACTCTACAGCTGCATCTCCCACCCATGTCCCAGATAAAGCATCCTACTCTTTAGGCAAGTGCATTCTTTTTCAGGCCACAACTTACAGCACAACCTAACAGCAATAGTACAGTAATTAAAGAGACAATTTCCATGCAAGACCCACACTTTACTTGCTCATAACTTCCAGAGTTTAACGTTTTAGGCAGAAATACCCTTGTTTGTTCTCAGACCAATATACAGTTGTAAGCTTTTCAGGTTTTTTTGACAAATGAAAATGTTTGCTTACAGCAAGATGTTCCATTATACAATGGAAAGTCTAACCTGATTGAATCAGACAATTTCTCTGATTCATGGCCAAATTTAGAAGCGTTATTATAACCCTAATTTTTTTTTACAAAGTGAGATTAAAGAGTAGTTCAATATGGATCTATTTAAAAAAACATCATTGAATGTTTGAGAAGGTGGGTGTTAGGGTAACCAATAACCAATTCAATCTACCCTCAGAGTAGTATTTAAGCAGTTTCGCATACTTACCTATTTCACCATGTTTAGTGATAGGACCTGCATGAATCTTCAATATATCTAATCTGGCTTGTTCATTTGGCAAATCGATATCTAAAAAGAGAGGACTTTTAAATTAAAATGGGTGAATAAGAGTAAATGTACAGAATTACATGTGCTTAAGAATGAAGATCTTAACTCACGGATTTTTCTATCCAGCCTTCCAGGACGCAGCAATGCTGGATCCAAAGTGTCTGGTCTATTTGTAGCCATGATCATTTTAACTCTGTGCAGAGTGTCAAATCCATCCATTTGATTCAACAACTGAAGGAAATGGACTTTTTTAAACAAGGAATTTTTTTTTAAATTAACATGTTCATAAATTGCTCGCACACCTCATTTTCACTAGTGATCATCACAGATTAAATGATTGATGGAAACAACAATAATCCTAAAACAATACTATCAGAATTTTAACCGTGATGATCCAAGAATATTTCAGATGCTTATATTCCATAAAAGAAAGCTTAAAAAACCTGGACAAATTCTGAACAAAGCAGCTCAAAAATAGAAGATTGTAATACTCTTTTTTCCTCCAAATGCTAAAATCTAGTGATGAGCAGTTGATTTTAATGTGGCACCTTAAAGACTAACAAAACATATAGTAACATGAGCTTTCTTGGGTAAAACCCCCTTCATCAGATGATTTACACAAACTATGTTTGGACAACATCCCCTAGAACCGTGGTCACCAACCCATCGATCACGATGGACTGGTTGATTGCGAGGCCTCAACCAGTCGATCGCGAGGCATTTGGGCCCCCCCATTTTCCCCCCAACCCCGAGAAGCCCCACTACCTACCTCTAGTGTAGTGCCGGCTTCCCGCAGGGTGGACGGAAGTCCTGTCTGAAGCCTGCGTCACTTCCGGGGGTTCCAGAAGTGTGCGGGCTGCTCCCCTCCCACAGCTCTGTTGCATGCTGGGGGAAGGGGCATTGGCCCTGGAGGAAGACTGCAGCAGCTTCCCTGCGCTGCTGGGGTGAGTCGAATACAAGGGTTTCCCTGCGCCGCGGGAGCGGGGGTCGGCCCTGGGGCTTGACTGCGCTGCGGGGGGGTTGGCCAGGCCGCACCGTGGGAGGGGGCTTTGGCGCCTGCGGGGGTTGGCTGTGCTGCAGGAGTGGAGGGGAAAGGTGTTGGCTTGGCCGGGCTGTGCCATAGGAGGGGGGTTTGGCCCTGGGGCAGGCACCCGCGGGGGTTGGCCGCGCTGCGGGAGGGGAGGGGAGGGGAGGGGGAAGGTTGGCCAGGCCGGGCAAGGGGTGTGGCCCCGGGGCAGGCTCCCGCAGAGGTTTGGCCCCACCGTGGGAGGGGGGTTTGGCCCCGGGGCAGGCACGCACAGGCCCGGAAGAGGCATAATTTAAAAATAAACTGTTTATTAGAGTGTGTAAGTAAGGGCTGGGGACAGCAAGTGATGGACAGGAGAATAGAGAGGGCGGGGCTTCAAGGAAGGGGCAGGGCAGTAGATCTTCGCCTGCTCTGAGATTTAAAAAGTGATCTCGGGTGTAAAGAGATTGGAGACCACTGCCCTAGAATATTTAACCTTCCCTGAAGACGTTTCATTAACTATATCCAGCTCTGCGATGGAAAACTCAGACACAAATTATTCTTTGTGATTCTTTTATACTGCAAGTGTAGCAGATATATTCACTTAATATGCATTCTTTTGGGGCTGAGAAACTGATTTACCAGACTAGGAGGGAATACGCATACACCAACCAGACGTAGAATCCTTACAAAGACTTGGATTACTAATTTGAGTTTAAAAAAATTCTATTAACACGATTGTGTGTTCTGCTTCAAATTACTTTAGTTTACAGTTGTCATCAATTTGGGATATTAAATACAATATGCATTTTGAACTCTAAATGTTAGCTATCTTTTGAACAGAAAGGCTCTAACCTGCAGAGAGGTTCTTTCCTTGACCTTCAACATGTAAACAAGATGTGTTAAATGTTGATGTAGTCAGTTCTTGGGGATGAAGCCTGAGTTCAAGTTTTGTCCATAAAGACTTTAAGGTCACTTCTGAAGTTAATTACATACAAATACATGGCCTATACATTTTGGATTTCAAACAGTTTTAACTTTTTTTTGTAGTGAAGTATCTCAGTTAATGTTAACATGACACTAACATAACAGTTCTAACAATCCCAATAATATATGATTTGTACATCTATTATTTACTTTACTATGAAAAATTTTAGACATTTACCTCCATTAAGGTTCTCTGAATTTCTCTATCAGCTGAAGTTCCCTCGGAGAAACGACGGCCACCTATAGTGTATATTAAATTATTAGGTTAATTACAAGGTTTTTAAAGGGCCTAAATGGTCTCATTTTAAGTTAGCTGTAATGGCTCCAAAAGCAAGCTGAAAGGAGAGGTCTCCTCAACTCTGTTCATTCCGCACAGCAAGGCTCTCTGACAATCAACTTCATATTATCCTTTTTAAGAAAAAGGAGACTATTACCTCAGATCTGGCTTAAATATTCACATGGGATTTTAGCTCTCTTACAGTCCATTAGCCTTACCAATAGCATCTATTTCATCCATGAAAATGATACATGGCTGATGATCTCTGGCATAGTTGAACATTTCTCTGATCAACCGAGCGCTTTCACCAATGTACTTGTCTACAATAGAACTAGACACAACCTGTTGAAAAAAGGAAACAGGTAACATGAGCAAACAGACTGAAGTACAGCCAGAGGGACCGTCAATATTTGAAGAGTGCTGTCATTTTACCTTTAAGAAATTGCAGTCCAGTTGGCTAGCAACAGCTCTGGCTAAGAGTGTTTTCCCAGTACCTGAACGGACAGAGACTGAAGCTGTTCAATTTGTAGATTAATTGCTAAGTCACAGATTGAAATATATTGCAAGAGTGCAGAAGTATAACAATACAATACAACCACAGGTTCCCAAGGGGGCAGTTCAGCATTAGTTACATTGTAAGGCAGAGATCCCCTTACACACCCGCAAGGAGTCACAGAGAAACGTTTGGGGATGTGCAGCTGGAGCCTTGGCTGGGGTGTATGTGAGAGTGTCTGTGTGTGTCTAGTGATAGAGATGCAGCCGTGTTAGTCTGGTGTAGCTGAAACAAAAAAGACAGGACTATGTAGCACTTTAAAGACTAACAAGATGGTTTATTAGGTGATGAGCTTTTGTGGGCCAGACCCACTTCCTCAGATCCTCATTGACGGCCTATGCCCAGAGGTCCCAGCCTCACTCCCAGTTATTATTCCTATTCCCATCCTCCATTCTTAAAGCCTCAGCCTCAATCGCGGCCCGGGAGGCAGCTGAGGAAGGAGGAGGGGGAAAGTGGGGATGGGTGCAAAGTAAAATGTCTGGAGACCACTGCTGTAAGAGAACTGAAAATCTAATGCCTAAATGATAGATTGAAGGACACAGTCTCATTCTGCCTTAATTATGGCCAGAACTCCAAACCAGAAATGAAAGGCATTTACAGAAGTGTACTCACCAGGTGGGCCATACAGCAAGCAACCTTTTGGAGGTATAATTCCCACACGTTGGAATAATTCTGGATTTGTAAGCGGTAACTCTATTACCTGAGAAAAAAGGTAGTTTAGTAGTGTTTCATTTTTAACAGATCATTGACTATTACTCTATGCTTAGATTGTACCAAATGTATATGGATTGCCCACTAACTTCTTTATTCTTTTCTTTTACAAGGCACTACTATAGAATCCCAACAAGCACAATCTATTCAGAATCAGAAAGTTAGCTATAGAAATGCTGTGAGGGAGATTTTCTTCACTGCTTTATGGATTAACTCTGAGGAGCTCTACAACTCCATCTCTACTCTTATTCCAATCCCTCCCACATCTTGTCTCAACTTTCTTGTAACTCGTTCCTTTGGACAAGATTCTGCCTCTAGTCATACATATGAATATCCAGAGTAACTCCAATTATTTCAATATAGTTATTCTAGTGCAAAGACTAGAATTTGGCCACTTTGTCATGCTCTCCACCTTGCTTTGAACTTTTACTTTATGATAGCTCCCCAACTTGGAAGCACCCTTCAAACCCATCTATTGTAATATAGCTTCCCAATGTTAATCACATTGCATCTCTGCACCTTCTTGTACCTGAACTGTTGACGTGCCCACAATATTCCTCAGAGACAGATAGCCACTGTAATTTCAGAGGCTACATACAGGTTATGTTAAGCACTATGTACACTTAAGGAGGTCAAAAAGTATTTTTCAATAGTGTCCTAAAATTTCTCCTCCCTACATTAAGTTAATAAAGTGCAAGTAATTCTACTCTGGCTGAGATCCTTAATATTCAGTCTAATTATTTAAGACAAAAACATGATATATCATCATCATCTACACACTTATAGCACAGAAAGGCAAACCCTCCCCTATCAGAAAACTATCCATATATAAACCTTTTCTGAACATATTTAAATAGCACATTAGACTTTTTAGACCTTTTAACCCACCTAACAGGCACGACATGAAGTACAAATTTTTCCTCAGAGTAGGTACCTCCATTTAGTAGGTATTTCTGTAATGTAACATTCAGTACCTCTCTCAGCTCCCTGATTTGTTCTGATAACCCTCCAATCTCAGAATAAGAAACATTCCCAGGATCTTCATGAGACATATTGTAAACCAATGGATCCACTTCCCTTGGCAAGTATCTGTAACATTTGAGTATTAATAAAACAGATGTTATCTCTTCATTCTGAACAGACCGTATATTCATCAGTCATTTAAATAAATCTTAGTGCTGGTTGGCAAATTCTTGTTTCCCCTATGAAAAAAAATGGACATTTTCTCTCCAAATCTATAAATCATTTTTGCAATAAAACGTGAAGACTGGAAGTCAGAAACTTTTCAGAAGTTAAACATTTGGGGAGGGTTTCAACAAAATACTCAGAAATGTTGACAATACCAGATATTTCCTACAGAAGTTTCTGTTTTGACTAAAGAGTCATTTCAAGCAAACAAACAAAAATTGACTAGCTGTGGTAAATCGGTAAGATCACGTCGGACGTATCTGCCCATATAATGTATTTGAAAGATTTTTGAAGCACTTTGTTCACACCTACTATCTGCAACATGTTTAGACCAACTCTGTCCTTCATAGAAAAAAAAATAACTTGTTGGCAAAAACTTACCTCATAATAGTTAGTGTAGTCATATCCAGAGCAACTCTTGTCCCTGGCTTCAGCTTACTTTTGTCAAGCTAGTGTTACAAGAGATGTTTCTATTAGAAATTGACTCAAACAGCAAAGTGATGGAATTCTGTATTTCTGCAGTAATTGTTCTTGTTTGGTATGACAGAAAAAGGATTTAGTGCCAGCATGGGTTCAGTTAGTGACTTTCCCCTCTCCCTCTGATACAAGTGAAGATATTTCACCCCTTACACCTTGGGGACACCATCAAGCTCAGCTTAAAATAAGGTGACTCCAGCTATGTATTCTACGTTGCTGAAGTTGAGTACCTTATGACAAGCTGCCGGGTTTAGGGTAGACCTGACTTAAAAAAGCTTGGTTAGTTTAGCCTAGCAAAACAAAGGCTAAGAGGGAAAAGGACTGCTATTTCTACATACATCAAATGGGTAAATATCAGAGAGAGAGAGAGAAGAGCTCTCTCAGCTAAAGGACAACACTGGCAGAAGAACAAATAGGGATGAACTAGCCACGAGTAGATTTAGGCTAGAAATTAGAGGGTTTCTAAACATTAGAGGAATGGGGTTCTGGTATAGCCTTAACAGCTTATACTTAACTTTATAAGAACCAAACAAAAAAACTAAAAGAATCCCATATCATCTCAGGCTGTTTACACTTTGCTTTATTATTCCCATGAATTCATTCCAGCACTCTCGGCATGCCATACCGATCTCTACACTGCAGAGAGCACTACATCTATGTTAGTAGCCAAGCGCAACTTAAAGAATAGTGTACAAACTTGCTGACTTTAAATATGTAACAAAAAATGAATACTTAATATCAGAGCAAGCTATTTAAAAACATCCAAGCAAAGCAGTGTTACCTGACGACGACAGCCAACCACATATCTTGGCCCATTTGTAGCTTTCACAATGACTAAAGAGAGAGAAAATGACAGAGAAAACAAGATAAAGCTTTTTAATCCCCCTGATTGCTGGTACAAAATAAGTAGCAATTATACAATATTTTCATAGTGATGACTAATTAGTAATGCTCCATTTCATTCTTTAAATGTGTCATTTATTTTGCTTATCTTGAAGACCAGAAGTTTAAAAAAGTAAAATATATCAGCGAAGAAACTTACATTTCTCTTCTGTTAACTGTTTAAGAACCTCACCAACAATCTATGAAAAAATGGAAAAAAGTATTATCTGCATCTATGAAAGTATTAGTATATAGCATATTTAACATACATTCCTAATTTGATCTTTGCCTGTCACCTTTACACCCTATTCCTGCTCCACAGGAGCGGCCTACTATTCTATTTCTTTCTTATTGCCCATAAACCAGGAACAGCTGTTAAAAATACACCTAACTCTGTGTACTTACCACTTGTAAAAGACCACACCGTGGTACATTTGCTCTGAGGGTACCATATCCTGTTCATATTCTTCAACTGTGGTAATAATTTGTTAAGCACAGCTCACCTACCACCCAATGCCATCCACAGTTGTGTCATTATGTATAATGCGTACCTGTCCAACACTCTGCAAAGCCTTGAGGTCATTTTCAGATTTTTCATACTGCTTGGTAAGCTCTTTCAGTTGTTCCCTTACTAAAACACAAAAAAAGAAAAGGATTTACTACCCTTTAATCTATTAGAAACCAAGCACCAGGGCTTGTCAATTTGCAGAGAAGATATAACCCTGAAATCAGTTCGAGTTGATACAGGAGAATCAGCGATTGGCTATTCTTGCTAGAAGCAGTCATTCTAGCCCAGAGTGATGACACCCCACCAATCCCAATGGGTTACCCCCCTCTGAAATAACTCTGGCTTGCATTAGACTAGGAGAATGCTAATGGGAAAACAAGATACTTTAATCACTTCTCCATACACATATATCCCTGGCCTAGTGTTAGCTCTGTGGGGCCTACCCTAATAATCATGTAAATCGCATCATGAGCTTCCACAGGTAAAATCCAGTTGCCCACGAAAGCTCAGGACACCATCTCCATGTTTTGTTAGTCTTTAAGGTGCTACCAGACTATTTGTTGTTGTTGTTCTTTAAAGTTTTTCCTGTTACAGACTAACTCAGCTTCCCCTCTGAAACCCTAATAACCAGCCGGGGTAGGGGGCTGGGACTGGGCACTCCTCTTTAGGAGGGGGGATTCCTTAAACAGGGTATTAACCCCCTCCTCTCACACACTGAATCAGGGCAGCGGCCAGACCCCCACCTCCAGGGGGCTGCCCCCGCTTCCCTCTCCCCAATGCCACCCTAGGAGGCCCGGCCCCCCCTTCCTTCCTTGCCCCCCCCATTCCACCCCAGGAGGCCCGTCCCCCCTTCCTTCCTTGCCCCCCATTCCACCCTAGGAGGC